AGACGAATAATGTTTACTTTGAAATCGTCAACGGTGTGTGGTTCATTGAAATAAACGAGAGACTTAACACGATCCCGACAAGAACAAGTCTAATGGCGTCAAGTCGCAAAATCCTGGTGGTCAGTTTACAGCTGCATTTCTCGAGATAACCCTATCGTTGAACTTCGATCTCAATAATGCGATAGTTTCAACAGAAGTGTAACATATGACAACTGTGTATCTATCCATGATGACTTGCCAAGCACTACTGAATACAAATGTCACATGACTCTAACAATTCTATAAGAAACACGACGGCTGTGATGCAAATTCAAAGTTCTATCGCACTTATTGGAAAATCCTTTATATGCGCACAAAAAAGAACCGTATAAGGCCCCAAGTTCTGCGTTTTCAATTGATACGGTAACTTGAGAGTTTTGTTTATAACCTTGCTATATTCCTTCCAGAAACAATAATTGTACGATGCTGCAATTGCATAATTTGTTCAATTACAGATCGACCCCTACAGCAGTGCTTTAAGTTATCATCCACCGATTTGTCCTTATGGTACTTATCCGTATCACTCTCGGTTACATTCAGCTTCTCTACCAGGGTATTTCCCTGTACAAGACAATCTACGATCTATGCAGCATATGGATAAACGTTTCTCTCCAGTACAAGATCCAATGGTTAGGTATTCCTCTCCATCAACAAACACACTTCAGCATCCAAGTAACTTAGAATTTGATAGCCTACAAGGGAGCTCTGTTATTAACAACGTTGATACAACAACTTGCTTATCCTCGCTTTTCTCATCACCGCCGTCTTTATCATCTTCGCATCAGACTCTGTCACGAGTTCCCTTAGTTGGGTATTCGACGAATAATCAATTTTCTCGGAACAGAATGATTCCGGATGTTGTTGCTGCAGCGGCAGCTGCTGCTGTTGCCGCGGCAGCCTCCCTTGACAGAAAACGAGATACGTTAACATATAACAGAGCCGACACGCATACCTTATCGTCCACTAATATAACAAATGTCATCGATGAAGAATCACCTCATGTACCGGGTTCTAATAAATCAGCTATTAATCGTGATGTAACTCATCAAACACAAGATAGTAATTTTAACGAGGAAGATCATGAACATGCCAAGTATCAGCATATGCAGAATTTTCTATTTGACCGGCTCGCGCTTGTTAAAACAGCGGAGAATTTCGCACAAACAAACTCGGTTATCGGTAATGATGCCCAGACAACAATGACGCCTACGGTTTCAACGACACAGTACCAGGTACCACTGATTCCTCCGTATGTGCAGTTGTCAAAGAATCTATTAAGAAACGAATCAAGAAACTGCGAGACACCGCATCTTGGTAAAGTTAATCGCAGTCCAAATAGTTCACATAACTTTACATGTTCGAATTGTGGTATTATCGGCCCAAAGTTCAAATGCTTGGGATGTGAAATGGCTTTTTATTGCAACGAACAGTGCCAAGAAAAGCATTGGTATATTCACGTACAAAGATGTCCGAAAAAAATGCCAAAATTAAAGAAAGTCGCTTAATTTTAACTCTACGTTAATAATCCTTCCGTTTTCTGTAATTCTCTTTCACTTTGGAAATGTTAAATAATCTTGAAACTTTACTTTACTTTGCTTGACAAGAACACAATAGCAACAGAGAATGAAATAATTGATTTATTGTAATATGAAATATAACTTGTGTAATCTTTTCATACAAAATTAAACGCAATTTTTGAAATGTAATATCGCATAAAAATACATTTACAGGAAACGAGAAGATAAAACCATACATTTTCCTTACAAATTTCTTTCTTTCTCATTTTACAATAGTAAAAATGATAAGTAATACAAATATGCATGATTAATGACAATAATATTATTACTAACTATTTGTACAATTGATTAATATTTAAAATATGAAAACGCTAACCCAAGTTTGTATGATATTTTTTGTCTTTCCTGTAAGTATGTAGTGTCTGGAATATGTACGTAAATTACGCATACCAAATTTTCTTTGTGATAAAATATTAAAGCTGAAAAATTTCTTGATACATCGATAGTTTGTTCTTTTACACATCGTCATTTTCTTACATTTAATTTTTTATGAATAATCGTGTTACAAACAATAAAGCAACCTTACAGATGAAAAATAATCTGGAATTTTTTGTTTCACACTAATAGAAAGTCATAGTTATTCACTCATAGAAATTGTATAACAACATACATCCAGACACAACATACATTTGAAACCTATAACTTCGATAATATTAACTTTTTTTGGCTAAAACTATAGATTAATCTATTTGATATTTTCTTTGAAAAAAAAAAAAATCATGAAAATAACTTATTTCTACCCTTGTTCTGATCGAATACATCCTTAAATCCTTTTTTTATCCTCTAAATTGTGTACATTAAATGTGTGTATTCATGTGTTTGCATAGATAGGATAGTTAATAATTTTTTAAAATACATACAAGAATTATATTATATTTTCGGAAGTTCAAGCGAACACAAATAACGGTATACGAACGTTAATCAACAATGTTGCATTTTGCTTCAGCTTTCTAACTGTAAGATTGTTTGTAATAATAAGTCGAATAATATATTAATCAAGAAGAATTTTACAATGATATTAATCTAGTTTTTATTCGCTTATTTAGTAGAAAGGCAGTAAACTAAAGCAACGGATATAAGTTTAAGACAAAAAACTGTAATTTAAATTATACGTACACAAATATTCCTTCATTCGTTTCTTCATTTCAGAATATTAAAGATGTATCATACATACATACAGTCATACTTACATATGTAACTTTCTCAGTTCTAAAGTTTTAAACGTCAAATGCATACAATGCTGCAGTTCCTTAAATAGAAATATTTTTTTCTCGGAGTCTATAAATAGCGTATATCATATTACTTATTGTTAGTTTAAGATGATTCTTCGTACAGGTCACTTCTACCGAATTTCTTAATCAGTTTTACGTGCAAAACTTAAAATCTGTATTTAATCCATATCTAGTGTTTTATTCATTACTTTAAGTTCATTTACACCGCAAAGAAATATACAGGTAAGGTAGGTAAGACTAAAAATTTTCTATCGAAAGAAAGAGAACGAGTTACGAAGACAGAAGAAAATGTTCACTGAAATAGCAAATATTATTAATAAGTTAGAAATAGTTTGTAAACAAGTGTGGTATAAATTTGTAAAAATTGAATTGTTGTATGATCGTCCAAAAAACAGTAAATCACAAAAAACAACACCGAAAGTAGATCGTCACATGCATCGCCTGAGTGAGAAAGATCGTATCCGTCCTGCAACTGATATGATAGCTAAAATAAATATTAATAATGAAGTAACAATTAGTCCTACAACTGTTGTGCGTCCTACAACTGATATTGTAGCTAAAATAAATATTAATAAAGAAGTACAACTTAGTCGTAAAACTGTTAGAAAGGGACTCGAGGATTTTCAGTTGAAAAGATGAATTCGAACAATGCGACTCGCATTTGCTCAAGTACATATGTACACAAGCATTAGACTAGTGAGATTTAACGGAAGATATTATTTTCTAATGAATCAAAATTTAATCGTCTTTCTTCTAGTACAGTGCGATATTTTAGACATCGAATTGGCGAAGACTTAAGACTACAGTGCACTGTAATGACTCTGAAACCTGGTGGTGGAAATACTGGTGGTGTGTAACGGATGGGGGCGCTTCTCTTCAGACGACTCTGGACCAATGTATCGTGGAATTATAGACTGGTTTATATATACAAATATTCAGCCACAAAAAACTAAAGAAACATAAATTAAACCTATATTAAAAGTACACTAAAATATAATAAATTGAATTTAACATGTTTACTTTGACTCCTGATTGATTTTACAACCTCGCTATATCGTAGTCCTTACAATACATGCCATGCATCGACGACTGGTGGCCTATCGAACACGTTCAAAAATTGCAGAAGTATTTTACATATCACATAAGACTATAATGTAATTTTAAGGGAATTTGTACAATAAAAATAGGAGAACTCTAAACAAGAGTTTTGAGATGACTCCTTAAATAAATCCAAAGTATTTAAATTAAAGAGACGGTGTATACAGATTTTTGTGTCGTCTATTTATCTGATCACACGCAATGTTAGCATTTACTACTAATAGGAAGATAATAACGATTATACGTGGAATTCTATATTCAATGAGTGTTTTTCCAAAACACCATCCTAAACAATAAGAGTTCATATCTCGAAAAGAATAAATTTTCAGATCTTTGTTTATAGAATCTTCCTTTATTTTTACAATAAGTAGAATGTGCTCCTAAAGATTGTCTTCTCATTCTTGTAACCTTGTATAATAATATTTTATAATATAACCGTGTCATGCAACCAGATTATCACTTAAACATGGATTACAATACTGAATTTTCATTATTATAATACATATACATGCAGTTTTAAACGCAACATAATAAAGATACAAAATTACCTAATTTACCAATATACTTAGTATATGTATAATAAACACATTAAAAAATTTGTTTCAATAACATTTTTATACAAAATTTCTTTCTTTCAATAAAGTAAAAAAATAGCTATTCCTTAATGACAGAGATTTTTATTCACTAAAAGCAAAAATATGTTATTTTATGTATATAAAAATTGTTCAAAATTTACAAATGTGTTAATGTATACAATTCAAATAATAAATGGTTTTGTATTTAATGCTGAGTTAGTTTGGTAGAGGGTCTAACAAACACAATGCTATAGTTTTTCATTCTTATATTTTTACAACTGTCACCACCAAACTTCAACCTGCGGTATATTTTTCCACTGCCCTTTATAGATTATAACAAAACAATATTTATAAGTATACAGTAAAGTTTTAATATTTAATAAGTATTGAGTAATGAAATAAATGATTTATACTATCATTTACATAATTCTACAAACACAAATTCACCAAACGAACATAGGGTTAAAAGTACAAAATAATTAAAATTTGCTTTTCAATGCTTTTTGCTTTTCCTTATCCACAAGTTTATTTAAGATTACATGAGCTTCCTGATAATAAGGACTTGTTTCATTTGCAACTCTTTTCATCCATGAAGCTACACGAGGTCTACCTTCATGTGGATTATATCCAGTTATTCCTGTAATTAAAACGTACACATTCTTACATTTTATACATTTACTCTTTAACTTTCATAACAACATATTTGTATAATCTTTGTTTCCTATGTTTTCATCATCTATTATTTTGTATGTGAGATCTCTACTTGCAACATAATATTTTCTACTTTATTAGGAATAAATATATCATCAAAAAACCAAAGTATGACAGTTCTGTTAGACAGACTTTATTTATTAGCTGCTTTTAGTAATATTCATTTGTTTATTAAATATTATTTATTTTATTTTATTTTGTTTTTGTATACAAATATAATTACTTACGAACTTGTTCTACCTCACATGCACCAAATATATCAGCAATACTAATTTTAGAACCAACTAAAAAATTTGTATCTTTTAACCAAACATTTTCTAGAACATCTAGAGTTTCATTCAAGTTTTTTTCATATTTCATTATTTTTTCCTGATTTGTTGGTTGTCCAGTTATAATTGGCATTAAATACTACAATAAAAATTCATATTTGATAACAATTTAAGAAAGTTAATATAGAATTTATGTACTTGTACTAATTAGTGTAATCTAATTATTAACATATATTTAAAATAACAAACTTTATAATATCATTTTACACATTATGTAGTAAAGAATTTTGTTGTAGAGTAAATAATATACAAATGAAGAAATTTTTTACCTTCAAACGAAAATATAAGGCACAAAAGAGTCTAGTATTAAGGTGTTGCCATTCAAGATATTCATCAATTTTAACTTGAGACTTTGATTCTTTAGGGTACCAATGATCAGGCACCTTAAATTCTCTACATATATATCTCACAATTGCAACACTATAAAAAATTCAATGCATTTGAATTTGAAAAGTATGTCATAAAAATTAAAACTTATATATTTTCTTACTTATAGTCTAAACAATTAATTCAATTTTTTATGTTGTGATAATAAAAATTTCGTATC